TTACTCGTCATTCCCGACAACTCTTGGTTAAAATCCGCTGGCCTTCTGCAAGAACTTTTCCTCCATAGATACATTTTGCTGTAATAAAACAGAAAAATGGGTCATTCATGCTGTGCAACAGTGACCTCCGAAGTTACTTTCAACTGCGATAGATTTCACAGAAACATAGATTCTCTGATTCTCAGCAATACAAATCTCTTTATCTCAAGTAAGATTTGAGAATAGTATGGAAGATAACCATTGCAGGCCTCATCTTGATTGTGCTCGACTTACCTTCACACCAAGGACATACAATTATTTCAGTGTTACAGCTGCCAAAGGAACTAGACAATGAATTGATGTAGTACACAGATAAAACAAACAAACAAACAAACAAAACTAGTTGCCATCACCATAGAGTACATTTAGTACCCTCCAGCTATTAAATGAATGACTGGGTAAAAGGAGACACATATATGTTGCACTCCTCAAAACCTCAGCCACAGTGGAGGATGCCATTTCTCTCTCCTTGTGATCATGGGAGGTTGATGTTCTTATCCTATCTGTTCCCAAGATACTCAGAGACAAGTGACATACACAAGCCAAGACACTGAAGTGCTAGATCAATGCACTAAAGAAACTGCCTTTGGAAAGTGAGCTTAACAGGCTATTGGGGGCAAGAGAGGAGGGAGGAATGTAGAAAATTCGTAGAAAAATTTTCAAAGAGAAGCATAAATGTGGCTCCTATTACTCGATCCAGATTCCACGGGAATTTATTCCTTCACTTGACTTGCTGACTTACTTTTAATCAAGTGCTGAGTATGCCAATTTGTTATGACCCTCATATGGCATCATCAAATTCTCCAGCCAGTTCAACAGGAACAAGGACACAAGGAAGCACTCCCACTCAAGCCCTGATGAGGACCCTTCTACCATACCTCTCTGGAGAAACAGAAGTGAAGACATGCGTCCTAAGAGCTCTTTCCCACTAACTCAGTATTGGTCTTATAAAACCCCCTTATCTCTCACAGCCTCCATTTCTGTTTGTTTTGGGTTTTTTGTTTTGTTTTGTTTTGTTTTTACACTGTGCAACCCCATTCCATGCTCGCAGACCACAAGTGAGGAGGCTGAGCAATAGTTTAAAGGCTGCAGTTTACTCTGGCATTAGTACATTATGAGAGACCCATATAGAAGGGCCTGCTGTAAATTCATTACCATGCTCATTTCTGTATCTATTAAAAATGTGCTGATGGTGGCATAGGTAGCAAGACACTGCTATGTGACACTGGAACCACACTGGAGGCCTGCATTCAGAGCATGGGTCAACTTGAACACACTGGGAACCCAAGCTCATACATGAGCCTCTCTAGCTGGGAGTAAGGGAGTGGGAATCACAGCATGGCAAGACCCTGTTGAGTTGTGCTCATGCTCTCTCTCCCACCCCCAAGAAAGAAAGAAAATAAACTTAAAAGGGGAAGGTTACATTTGACAGTTTCCTAAGTTCTATAATCTGATTCTCACAGAATATTCAAGTATGTAGAAGTCATAGTAATCAACTGGCCCAAACCTTTCTTTTCAGTCCCAGGACAAGGAAAGCCCAGGGATACTGACATACTTAACATCATATTCCTGTAGTGGATGCTGTAGTGTGCTACCCAGATCTCCCTCTGTGACCAAGGGACACAAGCCTACACACGCCAGGACAGTTGACAATCAACAGTTCTTAGCTGAATACTGATCTAGGATGTTCCCTGGGCTATAGACAGTCATCTTGCCTGAGATCAAATCTTCCTGGAGCAGTCTATATCTGAGAGCAGTTCATGAAGATGGTCCAAAGTCCTGGTCCCCTTGTCCCAACGTGGGACCATTCTGAAAGGCCATTTCAGTTTCAGAGCTCCCTTTGGAGTGAATGAGGCATTTGTTGTAACTACATTATAGTTCAACTTCTTCTGCCCAACTTTTCTTCCTTCGCTATCTCACCTCTACCCTAAAATTGATCTGAGAACATTTCCTAATAAAATGCACACAAATCTCCATTTTGAAATGTTTCCCCTCAGAACCTAGCTTTCAGCTATTACCTATGCAAACACGTTCCACTCTAGTATTCTCTCAGTGAACTGCACCAGCATCCACCCCAGTACCTACACCCCAGCAGCAGGGATCCTACCAACTTCTTTCTCTTAACTCAACCTCATGTCTCATCAGTGCCCAAATCCTAGCAATGCTCCCTCCTTAAGGTTTCCAAGTCAACCTGCTTTTCTCCACCTCCCACCCTGTGCCCCCAGACATTGTCTTTATTCAGACTCTCATCATCTCTCTTCTTTAGTACTATCAGAGTCTCCTAACTCACCCATGTTCTAGTCCTACTCTTCTCCATTTCTTGCTCAGGCACAGATTTTTTCTAAGTCCAAATATGAGGTCATGCTTAAAATTATTATTATTATCCCTATTAACCTCAGGATGCAATCCAAATTCCTTAATTCAGCACAGAATGTCATTCATGTGTTTTATCTCTCAAGCTTCATAGTACACCATTTCTGTGCTTTTGCTCATCCTTCCAAACAGTCACACCTCCACATATGCTGTAGCCAGGCCTTCTCTCTCACTTTCAGGCTTTCATATATATGAATACTCAAGGCCCTCCACCTTCCACTGGCAACCTCCTAAACCATATGCCCTTCAGTTTCAGCTTAGGCCTACTCAAGAAGTTGTCCCTGGCCTCCAGCACCCTCACTATGTATTTGCCCTCACTATGCATACTTTGGACTTATAAAAGCACTTATCCCATTGAATACTGATAGCAAATTTAATTATAAATTCCTCCTGCTACCTGTAGTCTCCATGGGGTAAGAACCAGGCCCATTTATAATTTTATCTCTGGGTCCAACCCATGCTCTTTAATTACTATTAATAATAATAACTAGTTGTAAAATCAATGTGCTTCCAGTCAGTTAAAAAAAAAAAAAAAAAAAAAAAAACAGTCAAAGTTCCTGATTGCCATATAAGAGTTATTTCTTTTTCTATTCAGCTCAACATCAACTTTGATGGTATTGTGGTTGGCATAGCTGGCCTCTGATGCAATTTAAATACTAAAATTTGATATGAGGGGTTTCAAAATTAAAATGGCAACACCACCACAAAGAATGAGGAATCAATGTAATTTTCTAAATAAGCCCCTTCTTCAGTGAAAAAAAAAAAAAAATCTATCCCTACTCATCTTTTATGGCTCAATTTTCTAGATAAATCAGCTGGTCACGACTCATTGGGCATACTGATCTAGATTCTCCAATTTACTTGCACGGGGAAACCACGACTCCAAAGGCCTGGAATTCCTATCTCATAAATTCCCACACTCCCAAATGCAGCTGCTGCCAACTTGGCAAGGTGTCTCACTCCAGAGTGACAGTTCTGCTAAATACACTGCTGTCAAATCTGCCATCTGCTTCTTGGCCCAGGCTGGGAAGCAAAGAAATAAACTTTTCTTCCACCTTTGCCCCTTACCACTCCCACAATGGCTTTAACACACTTGCTACCCTGTCTGAAGACATATGCCTGATTCCTCTCGTCTTCTTTGACAGACTTATCCCAGAACACCTATCGGGAGATAAGAATGCCTCACTGTTCTCACCACACACGAGGACAAATCCATCCCTCAAATCCACCGGTGTGGTATAAAAATTAAATGTCCACTGAACTTTATGTCCTCACAAAGCAAGGTGCTTTGGGGCTGGCAAATGCATCATGTTGTCACTGCACACCTCAGCCATTTGCAGCTCGGATTCTGGTATGGAATGTGCACATGATTATGAAATTCAGTATCTAAGAAATGATCTTAGGACAACGTTCAGGATCTCCACTAGAGATCATGAGAATTTCCCCCTGCTGCTCTCACTCACCTTCCCTTCTCTGACAGTGTAGCTCTCTCCCTGCCATTGCCCTCCGTATGTCTGACATCAGTCCTCATTACCCAACCTCTTGATATACAGCCAAAAGGCATCCTTTTGCTGTCTGAGGAAATTCAAGCATAAGGTGAGTCAGGCTCTGGTGCCTCTGGCTGGGACATCCGGGACTCCATTCCAACAACTTTCGGTGTGAGCAAAAACGTAAATGGATACCTGAAGCCCTTCACATCAAACCAGGGACATGCAAATGAGAACATTTCACAGCATCTGACCATGAAATTGAAACCCAGCACCAACACGCTTCTCCATGATGTCACAAACAGACGTACCGGGGACTTAGAGAAGCAGTTACACAGATGTATCTTTCTGCACCCACAGACGTCTGGCCCCTCCAATTTAACCCTCCTTTCCCTAGCGCGTTAATGGATGTATCTGCCATCTGGGTGCACAATGAATAAACAATCAACAGGGATGGCTCGATGCCCCTGTCAGGTATGGATATGAGCTTTATCTTAGGTGTTTTCACCTTCCACACACCCCAGTCATCCCTTGGAATTTGGCAGCTTAGAATGTCAAAATCAGCACTCTGTTTTACACTTTAAAGGAGTGTGACAGATCAGAGGGACTGAACACCCAAGGATCCTTCCTCCCTCAGTGAGTTCATATAGATACCACCTCTCTGAGCAAGATACCACATCAAACTGGTTCTCTCTCAGGCATCTCCAACTCGAACATGCCCAACGGGATATATCACTCCCCAAACTACTTCTTCCACCTGCTGTATTTCTGTTAATCACACTGTGAACCTCCCACGGGCTCCCGTTCAAAACCTGGCAACGTGTTTTTTACAGACACTCTGTCCCTGATTCATTTGTCTCATACAAAACATTACTTATGGAATATCTATCAAACACCAGGTCCTTTGGCTGTCACTCACATCCATTCCTTCCTCTGCATCTCCCTGGGCAGTGCCTGTCTGCCAGCCTCATCGCCTCCACCTAAAAGATGCCCAAGTCCTATCCTCAGACCCCCTCCTCCAGATTTCTTAATGCAGTAGCCTTTTTTTCCCTTTAATTATTTCATTTTATACCTTCACTCACTGTACATCACTACAGCTTGTAAAGTGAATTACCCAACATGAATATATTTGTTGGGTAATTCATGAATATATTTCAAACCAGTCCAGTTGAAGTTAAGATGTATGTTACCAACAGACAATCCTCCCATTCTGTGTCCCTTAAATGCGTTGCCTCTCTATTTTTCTCCTTGATTCCTTTCCTCTCAGCGGCCTTTCTAGAAACTACTTCTTGATTATATCATGACCTTGTTTTAAGACTTTGCTTTTGACCCCAAAGCCAATGCTGTGTTCATTTCCATGATTTTATACATGCAACTCCTGCTGGCAGGTAGGCTCTTACCTAGCTTGCAAACCTGGCAAAGTCCTACTCATTTGTCAATATTCTGCTCAGTTGCTACCAGTGAAATGTTCCTAACACACACATACACATTTCTGATGAAGTTAAGGCATAGCTTCTCTGCATGACTCCTGTCCTTACATAGTCTTTGTGTTAAGTAATCTTTTTTTGTTTTCTTTTTGGAGAGGTTTTGGCTGTAGGGCGCATGCGCTCCCAGAAAGACAGAGAGAGACAGGGAGACAGAAAGTGAGAAATCACTCCCCAGGGAAGGATGGCCACGCCGCAATCCTTTCTCCTCCATTCTTCTCTTGGGATCTTGGGCACGCATACACACATGTCTAGCTTGAGTTTAAGTCACTGGGTCCAGGACTCGAACCACAGTCAGCTACATGGGAGTCCAGCGACATAGTCATTATGCCAACTGCTGGTCCCTTAAGTAATTTTTATTGTAGTAGGCATGATGTTTGTGTCTCTGTAGAGAACAGGGGTAGAGCATGAGCTTTGGAGCCAGACTGCCTTGACTTTGTTTTGGCTCCACCAAGGCCAAGAGATTTTGGACCAGTTACTTCTCTCTCTCTCACTCTTTTTTTTTTTCCCCAGAAGTTTTTGCTATAGAGCACGTGCACTCACAAGAAAGACAGAGAAAGAGAGACAGAAAGTGAGAAATTGCCCCCCCCCGAAGGGGGATAGCCATGCCACAATCCCTTCTCCTCCACTCTCCTCCTGAGATCTTGAACACGCACGCACACATGCCTGGCGTGAGTTTAAGCCACAGGGTCCGGAACTCGAACCACAGTCGACTACATGGGAATCCAGCAACATGGCCATTATGCCAACTGCTAGTCCTGACAAGTTACTTCTCCTAGTCTGTGCTTCACTTCCTCATCTGTGAAATGGGGATAA